ATATATATGTATATATATATATAGCCTCAGTATAGCAGTTTCATCTTGTCCAGTGTCCTCCAGGCATGTGTGTCCCATGGTGCTTTAGTACATTTTTGGGGAAGGGGTTGGGAGCAGAACAGGCATGTGTGGGGCCTTGGGGGTGGTTACCTGACCAGTGCATCAAAAGCGTGAATGTGTCACTCTAACACTGAGCTGTTTTTCCAACCCCAGCTATTACGCAAAGCTACGTCAGCAGGAGATAGAGCGCGAGAGGGAGTTGGCCGAGAAGTACAGGGATCGAGCCAAGGAGAGGAGAGATGGCGTGAACAAGGACTACGAGGAAACAGAGCTGATCAGCACAACTGCCAACTACAGGGCTGTGGGGCCGACAGCAGAGGCGTGCGTGAGCCTGCGGCATGGCCTTGTCTTGCTAGCCTGCTCCAGAGGGGCTGTCTCATAACTGGCTCCATTTTTGTTGCACAGGGATAAATCAGCTGCGGAGAAGAGGAGACAGTTGATCCAGGAGTCTAAGTTCTTGGGTGGTGACATGGAGCACACTCACTTGGTGAAAGGTCTGGACTTCGCACTGTTGCAGAAGGTGAGCATAGATATCACCATGCTGCTCTTCTGCTACCCTGTCTGCTCCCACAGGCAGAGAGGGTGGGCAGAGGGTAGTCATTGCCACTTTTGGGTGCTTCAGTCTTGTCGGTGTGGACTTCTCTTTCTGGGAAAGATTTACGAAGGGTTGGGGAGCTGGTGGAAGTGGGCTCATTGGTTCTGATGGGCAGCAGCAGCATGGATTGATTGTTCTGTAATGCATGGATTTACTCTGTGGCCAGGTACGGGCTGAGATTGCCAGCAAAGAGAAGGAAGAGGAGGAAATGATGGAGAAGCCACAGAAAGAAACTAAGTGAGTGGTTGAGGATTTTGCACTCCTGAGTGCAGCTGCCTCCCAGAGAGGAGAATGCAGAGGAGGCATATGCATAGCATAATACTTCTGTTTCTTTTCTGTTTCTGTTCAGGAAAGATGAAGATCCTGAGAACAAAATTGAATTTAAGACCCGGCTGGGTAAGACTGTGTGGATGTTGGCTGTTCCCCACCTTATGTTGTGCTGTGAATGTGGGGGAAATCCTGGAGGGTGAATGGAGGAATGAAAACGTTTAGTCATTGGAGGGGGAGAGTCTGAGGTGTAGGCATCCTGAAATTGAGAGCTGGAGGAAGCATGTCTCCTAGGAGGTGACTGATGTTTCTGATAAACTAAATATGTTTGCTATGGGCTTGTCTGTTGCTCTCGGAA